GGCTCAAGAGCAAATCGTCAATCCTTACGCCGACGAGGCAGCATACTACATCATTCCTCCGTGGAGGATGCTGTTTGAGTATCCAATGCCGGACTTGTCAACCATTGCAGACAAACTGCCTGACATCAAAGTGTCCATAGGAGTTGTTAAGGAGGAAACCCTCTTATTTTTGGCCAGCTCGCTGCCGCCCCCATTGAGCCAATTGGCACCGGATACTGGCCTTCCAATTTTGTCACCCAGAATGGCAACAGCCGACTTCGATCAGGTCAGCTTCAGTGATATTTTAAGTTAGCATACTACTTAAGTAGTATTTTGAAGTGCAATTTGCAATTAGACTTATCCCTTATATTATGTTATCCTCTACAGATTATGCAGGCATTCGTCTTGCCCTCGACGGTTGCTGTATTCGACATTTATTTAGGCTTGATGCCAGTCTTGTATCCAGACTTCGACGGCAATGACCCTCGACAGCGACCACTAAACCCATTGACTGGAGCGGAACGCAAACTAGTTCGTCTCGGTCGTGCGTCTGGGGACATGGACTTCTTGTGCAGTACATTGGCAGTCAGCGAGATTTTTAACAAAAAGAAGTTAGGGACTTACATGTAAGCTACTTTTTGAGCCGGTTACGGAGAAGCTTTAAGACTAATTTTCGTCCCAATTGATGGTTCATTTCAAAGGGATATAATTGGAGGGAAGGAATTCGCGAATTCGTCCCAAATGAATGGATATAAATGAAATGTTTTTTTAGATTGCTTCCATTTCGAGGGAAAGTTTTCGGTTAACCTCTATGATCATGTGGGACATAAGACTAACTGATAGAGGTCATTGTGATGATGAACAGGATCGGCTTCAACTAACATTAGATGCATAAAATGTAGCTTTTTGAATGGTATTTGCGTGAGGAGAGATAAGGAGGCTTTATCCCAATTTCTCTCTTTGCCTTCAAGCATTCTTTGAAGAAAGCTGTGCGAACCAGTCAGGAAAGTGGGAATAAAAATGGTTTTCACGGAAACTACGACACTTTCTTTAGTTATGCCCACTTTTAGAGCGAAAGTCGACTCGGGTTGAAATAAAATAATGTCGTTTTCATGTTGAAGATACAGTTGCCGCCCCATTCGACAAAGAGTGACTGAGCACAAAAGTGCATGTAGAGGTTGCCGGCTGCAAGAATCACAGCGAGCTGGGCACATGATAGAAACGGAACATGAAGCTGAATGGTCTCAAACTTCTCGTTTTTCTGATTATCGCATGTCTGCGACTAAACGTAAAACTAGCGAAGCCATCGACATAAACCGAATAGGCAACACATTGAATGGAAGGAATACTGGCAAGAATTTAAGTTAAAACTAATTGCTATTTATCATTACTTTTAGCCATCACTGCTGGTTTCGTACATACACGAACAGATGCAGCCACACTCGCATGCTTCGAGGTTGACGAATGACTTAAAATAACCTAATCACCTGATACCACATCAAATAGCATAACTTTAGGAAATATGCATATACCATCTAGAGATAAGCCGATAATTTTGGCTTAATCTGCTTGAATATGTTGCAAGAATGGGGATGATGATGATGATGATGATGTTGATAATAGCACATTTTCGCCGGATTCGGATGAGATTGTCTCGGGCATCGACGGCTAGTCAAGAGGAATTCACCGACGTATTCGGGTGAAATGGACCTTCGAACCTCTTCACTAGACACTTTTACTTGAAATCGAAGTAAACTTAACAATTATGCAACAAGAGATTCCT